GGGAGAGAGAGGAGAGAGGCGGAAAAGAGTAGGAGAAAGGTGAATTATATATGTATATTGGTTAGATAATTGTATATTATACATATGTAATTGTATATATGACAAGAGAGATTGAGAGAGGGAGGAGAGAGGCGAGTGAGAGAGGGCAGAGAGTGGGAGAGAGGTGAATTGTATTTGTATATAGTTATGTACAATTGTATATTATACATATATATTTGTATAAATGACAAGCGAGATAGGGAGAGGGAGGAGAGACGCGAGCGAGATTGAGGGAGGGAGGAGAGAGGTGAGCAAGAGAGGGTAGAGAGTGGGAGAGAGGTAAATTGTATATGTATATAGGCTAAAATTTGTATATTATACATATTTATTCGTATAGCCAGGTGAATTATACATATACAAACATGATTAACTGTACAAACTCGAAGTCAGCCCACGTAATTAATGTATAATATTAGTCGCGAGTGGTAATTATAGCAAACTATAGCTATGACGGTGATTAAATAGTATAAGTTTGCTTATTCGCGTAATTTTTCCATAAATATATTATATATCATTATAGGTTTATATGTCACATCATATACAATGTATCTCACTATTTCAATCTAGTGATATAGAAAATGAGCTTAATTATAATAATTTCGTACTTTTTGACGCTATAGATTTTTATGAAATTAAAATTGCATTGTGCACAAGTTTTAGTTTACAATGTCATATATTCACATATTTTTTATATCAAATGTGTTATTTAATGAAATGATTATAGGTATTCATTATATAGAAATGAAAAAACGATAAAAAGATAATAATAATAAATCAAGTGATTAAATTTTGTTTTACTATAATAATAAAATGATTGTGGGTGTAATTAATATTTTATTACAAGCGTTATATATTTTTTATAACTCATAATAAATTGCAGATATATGTTGGGCTTATGCTTCGATCGAAGCAATTAGAACTGCCTACACTATTTTGAAGGGGGAAGTGATTCCACTCTCGAAATAACAGTTGGTTAACTGTATTTTTATACATTCCGGACGACCTAAAAGGTTGAGTACTTGAAATAGGGAGATTCGTCTGGTTACCACTACGATCAAGTGTTTCAATATGCAAGGGATTATTTCTGAAAAAATATACCCTTATAAAGAGATAAGAAACACTTGTAAATGTCTTGATCCAAAAAATACGTTTAGTATAATTAAATATTATTTGATTTATTTTCTATTACTCTTATTAAAATTATCTTTTCTTACTTAATAATTTCTTTTTCCAGATTCCAAAAAGGGTGCATGTAAATGTCTGTTATCGCTGGATTCGTCGAAAGGAGTGATTTGTATTATTTTTTAACTTGGATGTGTGTGCATATAAACAACACACACATTCAAGTAAATTACATTTTATTTCTATAAATTTAGCGAAGTTTAAAATTTGTGCACCATTTAGATCATGTTATAAGGTCTAGACTAGAATGGTCTTAGTATTTTTATTTATACTAGTATTGGTTACTTGCGTTGCAGGTATATTCTTATTAATTATATTTTAACGAGAGTTTCTAAATATAATAAAACTTATATTTTAATAATATAAATTAAGGTAGTGTTGATATTATTTATAATAGTCACTTTATATTATATATGTATACATGTTAGTCTATGATGTAAAATAATTAAATATTTCTGTAAAATATGTTTTTTTTAGTAGATTTTAGAATAATAAGTTACATGTAAATGCTTTCTTGTCTACTTGCATTTGTTTATTTTGAAAGGCCCTACACTCATGACTAGCTTCTCTCCAATTACAATTAAGTAGTCTATCACCACAAGCTCAAAAAGTCATATCCAACCATTCATTGAAGATGCTCATTCAGGTAATTTTCATGTGGTAGTCCGTGCTTTATTTTGCTTGTCATACTTCTTATGATACTTCGTGCTTAGTGATGAAATAATTTGTATGTAAATCTTTATAAATTTTAAATTTTGGTTAGTAATTAGCAAATTTTAACTTATAGGATAAGTATTAAAATATTCTTAAAAAGATGACAGAACAATACCTCTCGACAAATTCTTCGATTAGTTATGTTCCATCATCAGAGATAAAAATTGAACAATGGATGTGAAATGATGGCAATGATAATTGCTAGATACGCTCAATCTGGGATGCAATCACCTCAGTGAAATCCAATGATGATATGTTAATTAAACCTACCATCAATCTAATTTATTATACTTCAACTTTAAATAATAAAAAGAAATGGTAATCACAACTTTTTCCGCAAATTACGACATTATTTCAGAGCTCCTACATATGGATGTAGCACATAAAAAACTTTTCTGAAAGAGTTAAATTTATAGGACAAAATTTTATAGTATGGGAAAAGTCGCATAAAATTTGAAACATATATATATAAAGTCACATAAAAATTTGAAACACACACACACATATATATATAACTTTGTAAGATACATGTATCTATTTTAATTTCTTGGCTTCAAGAAGTAATTGAATATTATTTCCTTTTTCTATTTAGTTTTGTTAGGTTTATAATATTTTTAGCAAATAAATAAATATGTCTATCATGAATTGTCACTTTGAAATAAATTTATTGTATCATATTAGTGATATGATAATTTTTTTAATTATAATTTAATATAAATCCAAAAATTATAAGAGAATATGTATAGTCAAGAGTTAGATAATTAAATGCAAAACATGATATAAATGCATGAGAATATCTACATTTTTTATTGGGTAACACGACAAAGCTAATGCATGAACAATATTGAATTGCTTATAACTTTCAAAATAACCTTTGAAGATGTAAGGGGTAAAGTTTGGGTTTTAATTTAATGGAACTAGTTCACCGCGACACTTAGGGGTTGTTTGATTACTGGTTAGAATTATGAAGATATTAGCTATGCAGGATTTGATTATGCAGGTATTAGCTATGTAGGTATTAACTATGCAGATATTAGTTATGCAGAGTTTAGAGATTAAAATACATGAATTATTAACTATTAAATATTAAACTTGTTGTAAATTATTAATATATATTATTTATAAAATAATAATACATGCTAATAAAATGTGAAATATATTGAATAATATATAATGCAAATATTCGATTAGCATATGTAGCGTTAGAACATATACAATCAATTTCTAATATTAAAAAAATATTTATATTTGCATAGATCAATTAAAACGATAAGTATATAAAAAGAAATAAAAATAATCTATATATAATAAGAAATAAAAACAACACGTTGATAGGAAACAAAAAAAGTTTCCAATAAAAAAAAACTAAAAGAAAAAAATGATATAAATATAAACAAGAAATAAAAACAACAAACTTATATATAGGAAAACAATAAAATTTTCATTTAAAAACTATAAAATAAATTAATAGGGTAAATATGTAATTTATCATTTTAATACATGTATAACTAATACCATATAACTTATTTTACCTTCAATCCTGCATAACTTTATATATAGATTCTCTCATAAGTGGCATTAATTATGTGGGACTACAAAAATTTAAACATGGTATAAGTTATGTTGACTTTTCTACCTAAACAAAAATTTCTACCAAACATAGTATAACTTAATACATTATTTTATATACGAATAAAATGTAAGTTATACCGTAACCAAACACACCCTTGCATATCAGCTATATTTAAAAAGGGGTTGATACCCACAAGGTAGTAAAGCCGGATTGTTCCCTTCAATTACTATGTGGTGCACAGAAGTTTAAAGATCTGTTTTTGACATTTTATATCCATTAGCATGAGGATGTAGCTAGTTGGAATACACGATTTTTTCAATTGGACGAATACAAGAATATAGAAGAACTAACCTGTCAAAAAATTATGAACGATCCAAATAACATGACATTACAAAGCTTGTAATCCAGATAAACATCCCCACAATAGCATTTAACGTAATGCTCAAGGTTAAGCTAAGCTAAGTTCTAGGAAAGGAGATTTAGATTCAAATGCAGACTTCAAGTCACCATATGTCCCTAGGTTTCCTCACCTGTCTGTATAATTAAAAAAAAGAGATGAGAGTTGGTGAGTTAACTGCAAATGTTGAAAATTATCAATTCTTTAAGCAATAAAGCTCACAGCAGTAACCACAACTCCTAGCACATTAAAACATAACACATTGATGATTCATTAACCTTAATCTCTTACAATATAACTTGACGGTTTCTCAGAATGACATGTAACTAAAATAAACCAGAAAATATATACAAAGCAAAGCACTGAGAATTCATTGCTCCAAGTGAAAAAAATTGTGCATTGGAAATGTTAGTTCCACACACGTTATTTATTTTTAAAATAAATTTTCATATGGAGAATAGTTTCCTACCAGATATCAATTTAGTGATATTTTACTACACTGTCCCTACTAATTCATTTTAATATCAGTTCTTGAAAAATGATATCAAAATAATTTTATACCAGATTTCAAATAAGATACTCAGATATACATGTTTTGGCGGGATTTGTCCATAGAAGACTGACCAATGAGACGAGAGGGAGGCGAGCGAAATTTCATGTTTTGGCGGGTTGTAGGAAAGTGACCAGTGAGATGAGAGTGAGGCGAACAAAATTTATTTATGTATTCAGATACATGCAAGTTCGTCCCGATATAATATATTCAAAGCAAATTACATTTAATTTTTGACTCCATATATCTCGAGATACTTGTATATGGATATATCTGGACGCGCTAAAATCGAATGAGATATGTGTTTCTCTCTTTTGCACTATTCCTAATGGACATGCAAATTCATTAAATATAATGTATCCAGAGAAAGTTATTCCTATTTTTGATTTCATATGCCTCGAAATACATATATGTGGATATATCTGAATGCGCTAAAATCTGCTAAAATATGTAATATTACAAACTAACATGTATCTAATTAATTAGCTCCTATATTAGCAGAATTTCAATAAGTTGCTCTTATTACAAAGAAAAAGTGCCGATACTTGAGAAAATGAAACACATTCATTTAAATAGAGGAATGATCCAAAAGAGAGGAACACATTATTTCCTTAAATTTAAGGTCAAATCTAAGTGTTTCCATCTTTTTCACATACACTCCATTACTATTTTAACATGTACAACAAAAATATGAACAAGGCAGTCGAATAACATAGAGAGATTTGCATCCCCCAAATAGGATCTGTGATGTTTCTTCACCTGTATAATATTAATAACAAAAAAAGACATAAAAGTTGGAGAGTAAACTGCAAAAGCTGAAAATTCAGCCATTCTTTGAGTAATAAAGCAAAAGTTATAATAGGAGAGCCACAACACTCGTAGCACATTAACAGAAACATGATTGTCACGTTCCTTTCTTCAGCATAATCAGAATGAATATGATTTTCTGAAAAAAGAAGCTTCAGTGAAGGAAAAAATATTAGTACTAATTTTTTTCCCTTAAAATAACATAGCAGTTTCTCAGAACAAAATTAAACCAAGGGAAGAATGATACGTATCTTTAATTCAACCAAGAAAAACTGCATAACCAAAGACACAAAGCAACACCGAGAATTTATTGCTATAGGTGAGAAAATTGCACATTGTAAAATATGAGTTCCACACACTCTATGAAACCATTCACCTGTTTCACTAAAATCAGCAAACTACATCGTATGGATTATTTGAAAATAGAAAACAGAGCAATTTATATACAAACAACAAAAAGCAACTGATGGATCTCTACCTAGTAAAAAAAGGAATAACTTTGCATATATTTGGAAAATTCAGCACCAAAACTTCATTATCAGAAACATTTCAAACATCATCCAGTAGAAAGCTAACCTCAATATATTTGAAAAACTCAGCATCCATTACTATTTTAATATGTCCAACAAAAATATGAACAAGGTAGTCAAATAACATAGTGAGATTTACATCCAATAGCATCTGCACCAACCTCTCTCTTCCTGTATAAAAAAAAAGAGATAAGAGTTGGTGAGTGAACTGCAAACGCTGTAAATTAGCCATTCTATGAGCAATTAAGTTAAAGCTATGACAGGAGAGCAACAACACTTTTAGCACATTAACAGAATACATGATCGTCATGTTCCTTTCTTAAGCATAATCAGAATGAATATAATTTTCTCAAAAAATGCTTCAGTGTAGGTAAAGATATTAGTACCAATCTTTTTCCCTTAAAATAACATAGCAGTTTCTCAGAACAAAATTAAACCAAGGGAAGAATGACATGTATCTTCAATTCAACCAAGAAAAACTACATAATCAAAGATAGAAAGCAACACCGAGAATTCATTGTTATAGGTGAGAAAATTGCACATTGAAAAATATGAGTTCCACTCGCTGTTGATTAGTGTTCGGAATAACTCTGAAAACATTCACCTGTTTCACTAAAATCAACAAACTGCATCTTATGGATTATGTGAAAACAAAAAACAAAGCAATTTATATACAAACAACAAAAAGCAACTGATGGAACTTTGCATATATTTGAAAAATTCAGCACCAAAACTTCATTATCTAAAGCATTTCAAACAACATAGAGTAGAAAGCTAACATCAATAAATCAATCAAAATTGGACTTTGACGTGGTTTTACTTTAACTGGAATACTTTTCAACCTCTATAATGAGATTTTTTATGCAATATAATTACACATTATTATCTTGAACGGTGTCACAAGTCAAATGCTGCCACATAAAGTTTGATGAATGTAGTAGACTTTTTAGAAAAACTTATTCCTTCCATTGCTACTAATTTTCCTACGTCATGTAAATATGTTTATAACTGGCCTTAATCCTATAGAGGTGGTTTAGACTTAAAAACTCTTGGTCTTCTATAATACATACTCAGTTATGATACTTGAAGACAACCTTAGAATTATTTAAGCATGTTAAATCATCACAGAAGCAACATCTTCAAATGTCTAGTAGCTAAATATACCCTTTTCCTGACGACCAGGAAGTCCAAATTATCCTTTTCAGCTGGGATCACCATAGCTTGAAAAATATAGTATCTTTCTTCATGATCCGTCTTGGCTAAAAAGATAAGATAGTAAATGTAGTCACGAGAGCCACCTCTCTTCACATTCAGAATTCCCTCAATTACATGGTTAGTGCCCTACAATGAGTACAAGTGAACTTTCTTAGCTTTCCGAACAAAACAAAAAAAAAGAAAGGAAAAGGGAAGACAATGAAAAGTGTGCTAAGATCAAGCTTTTTTATGGATAGGAAAGACAGCAAGAGTGACTAGAGCATACCGTATCATCATGGTATTTCTCAAGTGCACTTTCAGCATAACCCCTCAACATCCTATACTTTTTACGGATACGCAAGTAGCTTGGAAGGGGAAAGAATTTAGGCAGCGGAGGCGGCCCAGGATAATCCTTAATATCAAAACCCTATCAAAATACAATGAGACAAACATCACTAACTTGCATAAAACTTGTTATTTAGCAAGTTATTTGAGGCAACTGACTTCTTAATTTGCCATACAAACTAATGGTTACTTGTTGACTATACAACTCCATCAGCCATGTGATTAGAAGTAGTGAACTCGAACTATTAACTAAAAGGCAAGTAACTAAATGCACCGATTTGACTTGAATAAAAATAGACTTGTAGAAGCAGCCAAAGCACAACAAACCAAAGGTCAAGGCATATGTATGTACAGATTCATGAGAACTAGGCGATACATCTAAGTATTTCTTTTAAAACAATTGTGTCAGTTACCTTTCTCTCGTAGACCTGTCTGAAGTAGCTCTCCCACATAGATTTATCGTGTTCTAGTTCTAAATCATAGTCAGTATTCTCGACAATTCTCTGATTACTAACATCATCCTTATCTTCATCGTTGGTGCTATTGTCATCTTCGTTTGATACATAATCCTCACTTTCGTCCTTGCTGCTATCGCTTTCTTCTTTCACTGGCAAGGAATCCAGTACTGCTTGGAAATCTACACCCTGAATATCCCGTACAGCCAAAGGTAAAGGCATATGTATATACAGATTAATGAGAACTAGGTGATGCATCTAAAGCTGGTTTGGATGTTTTTTTACCTATTGTACAGTGTTTGTTTCAATTCTAACTTAATAATATAATCTATTCATCGAAACAATACCTTATGAACCAATACATAACAACTATCCAAACAAAGTGTGATAATTTCAGAACAAAGAGGAACAGAGTAAGCTAATTCATCTACCTGGTTATTGTATTCTGGATCTGAATCATAACCCTCACCTTCGCCGTCGGTGCAATTGTTAGATTCATTAGATACATGATACTCACTTTCGTGTCGCTGCTAGCCGGCGGGGACTCCGACTCGGCTGGGAAATCTAACCCCTGAAAATCCGGTACGGCCGGTCGTCGTGGACGCAATAATGGGGGCAGTTGTGGCTGCGAACGTACAGATTTCATGGCTCCGCGATGAGTAAAACTCGGGAGGGTGGTGGGCATGAGTACGGTATTGGTAGCTATTGAAAATTTCTGTTTCATAATCTTTAGTTTTCAGTTTGTATAAATATTATATTATTATACCAACATAATTTAATATGTTTGAGATTTTGATATGATAGGTAAATTGATAATTGTAATTTGCTTACTTTTTGTTTATATAGAGAACTATGATTTCAAAAAAATTTGGATATATCTTATAATTATATAGTAAGTAACAATAAAAATATTCAAAAGAAAATATGAATAATTCCCTTTATTAGTCTATTATTCAAAAACGAGAACTTTCAATTAAGGTATAATAGTCAAAAGTTTGAACGTTTAAATAATTAATTTTCTAATACTAGTTTATGTATTGTTAGTATAATAATAATATTATGGTATATGTAATTATACAGTTGGGTACATATTTTGTATTTTAATAGTCCTATTAAAAATAGGAAAAATTACGCAGTTAACCAAATTCATAATATTTAATTATTCATTATAGCTATAATTTATTATAATTATCACTCGCGACTAACATTATATAATATTTACGTGGGCTAACTTTCAGTTTATATAATTAGTCACGTTTGTATATCTATAATTCGTCAGAATATACAAATATGTATACTATACAATTATCTAACCGATATATATATATACAATTCATCTCTCTGCGCTATTCCCCCCCCCCCCCCCTCTCTCTCGCCTCTCTCCTCCTTCTCTCAATCTTGCTCGCCTCTTTCCTTCCTCTCCCGATTTCGTTTGCCATATACACAAATGCATGTGTACAATATACAATTATATATATGTACAGTTTACCTTTGTCCCACTCTTTGCCCTCTCACGCTCGCCTCTCTCAATATCGCTCGTCTCTATCTTCCCTCTCCCAATGTCGATCGTCTCTCTCCTCCCTCTCCCAATCTCGCTTGTCATATATACAAATACATATGTATAATATACAATTATCTAATCAATATACATATATAATTCACCTTTCTCCACTCTTTTCCCTCTCTCTCGCCTATCTCTTCTCTCTCCCAGTTTTGCTCGTCTCTCTCCTCCATATAACATGTAGCTACGAATTGATTATCAAATTATAACTATAAAAAATAATTAGGCTATTTTTAATTGGTTATAAATAAAAATTCCTTTGAAAATAACATACACCATTTCAATATCAATATTCTTACAAATGTATACTAAAATCATATAAAATATTATAATATTGAATTGCAATATAAAAAATTTCGACTTTGATATCTATAGTATTATGTCCACCCTAATAAGAGAAATTAATCTTTGATTAAGACTTACAATAGGATTAAACAATATTTTAATATATTTAATTTAACATCACAAAATAAAATAAAATTTAGAAGGTATATCTACAAATTGTTACACCAGAATTTTGTCAGAAAATATCCATTACATGATGAAAAAGAAAAACAAATAGAAATACTATTGCTAATCCTTATAAAGAGTTGTTTAATGTGTTTCAAGCTAAGTTCAACTCAACCATAGAGATGTACAATAAGGGGGTGAATATCAACCGTTGGATTTGAATTAAATTAGGATTCTCAGTTCAGGAGCACACGTGTTACTATCATTTTCTATTTACCTTCTCTTATTATCTTTTCCTCAAAAGATTGCCACGAATAAGTAAGTTTAAGAGACCGTATACAATTTTTTGTGCATGGGACATTATTACATCAAACCAATTGCGACACGAGTAAAATCGTATGGTACGAAATAATCTTTTTACTAAATTTTCTAGCAATAAACTTAGTGAATTGGTCGAGCGGAAGAAGCTCAAAGTCAAATTAGATTAAATCATCCAATTAATTTAATTTTATTTTTTACTCCTTCGTAGCAGTTTTCACCTTTTTGCTCTTTAGTGACTTCAACTCATAATGCTTTACATAACTCTGGCACTCTTATACATTTGCTATGTATTTTTTGTCAAACTCGCTTTAATCTCTTGTTGGATGATTACGCTGCGTCTCAATCTCAAATAAAATAGAGTCAAACTATATAAATTTCACTTGTTTATTTAAGGTAATTTAATTTAATTAGACGTGGTCTAGGCTACCGGAAGGTCCATGATTAAATGGTAAAACCAAGTCCCTTAATAGTCACAAATACAATATATATTTTGTATAGCCAAGTCCACTTCTAGAAAATATATATATATATATATATATATATATATATATATATATATATATATATATATATATATAGAACATCGTCATGACGTGCGATGAGTTCCCTATAAAACTATTTGTTGTCTGTCCACTTGATCCAAAAAAACAAACAAAAAGAATCTCCTAATTCGTTTTATAAAAAAGTAATACTAACACATTTTTTTTATCAAAATATAATATACTAGTTCTCCCAAAAAAAAAAAAACCTAATTTTTGGCTCCCTAATTTTCAAAAGTTAAGCCAAAACTAACTTCCTTAATTTGGCCACTTAATTTATTACCAAGAGTTTAGTAATCACTTTCTCCTCCTAGAAATTAAACATGACTTTGTGCAAATCTTCACTTAAAATTAAATTTCATCAATATGTAAAATGATAATTTGTTCTAGTCATGGAAAATTTGAAGTCCAAAACTTCATTTATGCAAAATAAATAGTGTATGATAGTGTTGGAAGTGGTCCTTTTCCATCCAGCTGAACAACTTTCCATAACTTAATTCAAGTCATTTTCATCATAATAAAAGAAAAATACCGGGTTGCTATTCATGTTAACATTTATAATTAACTTAAACATTTGTGAGAATTAAACAAAACAAGAAAAGAACATTTCAGTACTAATTATTGAAGAGAAGTTGCATCTGAGCGCAATTCTTTTTTGCAAACAAAACGTTATTTATGTTAAGATTTTACAAATAAAATAAAAGAAGTTTCACACAAGTTATATCAATTACGATTAGACAAAGTAAATTCTCGTGATGATGTAGTCATGTAGCTGATATGAGATCACAAACTGTATTAAGTAAATAAAAATGTGTTCTTTCTAATTACTTACACTTATTTAAACGTAAGCGTAATTATTTGTTCTTTGGAGAATGCAATGAACTTTTTAAGTCACAATGTAAACTTAGTAATTAAGAATTATTCTATATATACATCATAATTAAATCTTCTGGTTTCGTGGAAGTTGCCTGGAAAGTGCAAAGGCTCTTTCCCCTGAAGGGCACCTATCGTTCCACATAGATGAAAATGTTTTTATAATATATTTATAAATGATCTCATTTATATTTAAAGACAAAAAAAGTCAAAATTTGATAAACAATATCATGATTTTTAATTATTGTTACTTTTATATCTAATTGATTTTTTTTTTTTTTTAACTTTTTAACTATGTGAATGAAGAAAAGTCAATGAGCTGTAGCAGAAAACTCGTTTTGTTAAAAGTTTTGTTACATTGATTTATAATAGTTATCATTATATGCAAAGAATTACATAAAAGTATGATAAGAAATTCATAATTTGATAAGTATTTTCGTCGTTTTAAACTACGTGTAATATTTAAAAATAGTTATCTCAAATTAGTATTAATTATTTTAGAAATTTAAACATAAATTGATAATATTTTTTTTGACTTTATTCTTAATAGTAATTTGTTGTAAAACACTACAAAGTATAAACACTTTGAATAAAGTAAATTTTTAATAAATAGAGAATATACCTTAAAACACAAATAAATATTAAATAGCTAAACATCAATATTTTATAAGAATATAGAAAAACATTGGAGTGTATTTGGTAATAGTAGACGTTGGTTTCTAACTATTAGTAGTAGTTAGGAAATAAAGTACACAATTTTTTCCCTTCTAGACTAAACTAATCTAATCTAATCTATAATGCAATTTCTTCTAGACAAAACTAATCCTTCTAAGTTAAGCAAATCCGAATAAAATTCTTACATACCGATAAATACAATGACATTATGACATCAGTTCCCTATAAAATTATGTATTCAAAATTTGCACTTTTTGTTTTGTTGAAGGAGTAGTTTAATTTTTTCTCATTTTATTTGAATTTGATTTATAATCCTTATAAGCTCAAAAATCTATTTCATGTAAAAGTAACTTGTTTTGTTATTCTTAACTATTCATTACTACTTAATTTAATTATATCAAAATATCTTGATAAATGATACTTAGTACTTTAATTGACTTGATTGTGTTATGTTATAATATAATTTTTGTAATATAAACAAAGCTCGGTCACCAAAGACAGAATTTTTTTATATGTTCTAATTTTGGTGAATATAGTTACTTGATATTTAATTATTATTAATGGAAGGTGATAAATCTTTTAAAATTTTTCAAGATATATACAAGCTAGTCCGAATATCAATAAAAATCGACACACAAAAGTTTGATTTTATAATTGCAAAAATCGGGTTTAGTTTCTTTTTTACACTCATAAAAATCACGAGTATTCAAATTTATCTACGAGTGTTTACATCAAATTAAATCAATGCATATGTTATGTGTTTAAATTAATAATTTGTTTTACTTAATCATAATTAATTTATATATACTTTACTTTATTAAATCACGTATTATATTGATTTAGCGTAAATACCAAATTTTTAATGGACACAGGAAAAGAGTTGGCGAGAGGAAGTCCGGTCTACGTAGGCATACGGAGAGGAAACGGTCCAAAACTGCGACAATTCAAAAAGTCTCCTGCTCCACGCTTCTTTACCATTTACAAATATCCCCAATATCTGTACCCACTTCACATTATAGTTTCTTAGATTTTTTCTACAATTTATCTTCTTCGGATTTTCAGGTACTGCGTATCATCATTTTGATCTATTCTGTTTTTCAGTTATGGAGATTCTGTTTTCTTTCCTGTTTGCTGTACATTGTGGGGTTTTGTACAAGTTCTGAATTTCAATTTTATGAATTTATGAAGGAAAAAATGGATCTTTTTGTTCATATAGGTCGTTTCAAACTTCATTCAGTGATTTGTTTTTGTTCTTCTATTTTTTGTGTATTTTTATGTGAGAAATTATGATTTGGAGCTATCTTATCTACTCTGTAGGAAAACCTTGTTTTCTCGCTATATTCGTGTTTTTTTTTACTATATGATTTGTGGGAATTTGAGAATCAGGATGATAGCGTTAGGAATATCAATCGGGAATATTCTTAAATTTCTGCTTAGTTAAAGGATGATTGTTGGAATTTGCTTCGATAGAAGAAACTTGAAATTCTGGGTTTTGTTAGGACGGAGATGTAAATAGAACTGGACTTGTATATCCCCTAAATTTTCGATATTATTCTTGCTCCTTGTTGGATTTTCTTGATTTTTTCAAGGATTTACTTAGTTTGACTTTGGTAACTAAATTTCTCAACTACCACCAAGCTATCCTCGCTTGCCTGTGTTATGTAAATGAAACCGGTTCAAATAGAGAGATGCTCTTGGGTTTCCTCTTTCATTATCATAGCTAAATTTGAGTAGGATGAATCAACCTGAGGAAAAGTAGGTAAGGTTAGACCCCTCGACTTGATTGAAGTTGACTTCGCTGAGTTCTGAATAAATCAAAAAGTTTATTGATTTGATTCGCCCCATTTCATTTATTTGGGTGAGAGGGAGGCTGTGAGTCACCTGGGCTATGGATCTTTCCGTTGGTTGATTCTCGAGATCACCTCTTCAAAGAAAAAAAAAAGAGGGCCCATGGTTCTGGCCCTGCAAATGAATAGGAAGCACTTGGTACTGAGATGCAGTTGTTTGTTGTTCGTGTTTTTGTTGTAGTATTATATTAGTATTGCATACTTGATTTTAGACTTCTCTTATTAGTGCTACATCTCTGAACAAAGCTTGGTTTGAGTCTTTATTGCTATCTTTTGCGTGTTGTGTGCTCCTAATCTCTTATCTTCTAGCCAATGTTCCTTTGTGATCTGTTACTGAATTGTCTCCTTGTACGTGTCTCACAGTAGCAAACTATCAGTTCTCTGTATGATGAACTTCGCTTAATAGTTTGATAGTCTCTTTCTGCAGATAATTTCTTAATCTACCAGGTCCATCCCCGTGGGATTACTTTCTATCTATCAAAAAATGCATGGTCTTAAGAAGTCTCCTTTACATCGGAGTGCTAGAAAAAAATCTGCGGATCCTGTGGCCCATAGTAATTCTGGATCAAATCCCTTTGATTCTGACAATGAGTCAGACAAGAAGCAAACTGTAAAACCATCCAGGAAAATATCATCGGAGCCTTCTGCAGCTGCCCCAAATTTGAGTACAAACCCTTTTGATGATGATGAAATTAAAGAGACTCCTTCACATGCTTACTCAACTTCGACGGCAAGAAATAAATACAAGAATGATTTCCGGGAGTCTGGTGGATTTGAGAACCAAACTGTAGAGGAGTTGGAAAACTATGCCGTCTACAGGTCAGAAGAGACTACAAAATCTGTTAATAGCTGCCTGAAGATTGCACAAGACATGCGAGAGGATGCAACAAAAACTTTGATAACTTTACATCAACAGGGAGAACAAATTACAAGAACCCATATGACTGCAGCAGATATCGATCATGATCTTAGCAGGGTATGACTTCTTTAGTTCACTCATATAAGTTTTTTCTAGTTTGCAGAAGCAAACATAATTGCAATTTAACATGTTAGTTTGCTTTTAGATGGAGTTATAGATTTATTTATACATAACTAGTCTGTTTTTACCCTTCCGCCTAGAAGTCGTTACGCCCTTAAAGATGTCTCTTACTCGCTGAACTGCTAAGTTCTTCATTTCATGTACTTGTTACAAAAAATAATAATTCATTACATGTTTTGCAATTGTTACCTGTTATCCTTGTGAGACTTATGTTTGAAACTTAATTTCAGGGTGAAAAACTCTTGGGGAGTCTTGGAGGCATATTTTCGAAGACTTGGAAGCCAAAGACGAGTCGCCCGATTACAGGGCCCGTTATCACAAGAAGTAATTCATTTTATTTTTGTTCTTCTTTTTCATTTACTATTATTTGAAGAACGTTAGGGAAAAGGGATGGGTTTTGAGTCAACTGACACTGATAGCTAATTTGATACTCTGTTAATGTGCACAGTGTCAGATGATCCAGTTCAAAGAAGGGGCAACCACTTGGAGCAGAGGGAGAAATTAGGATTGAACTCTGCACCCAAGGCAAGGTCAAGTTCAAGGACACCACACCCAGAGCCTACAAATGCAATGCAGAAAGTTGAGGTATGTTCATGTGACTCGGGACAAAATAGAGAATACTGTTACAATTCTCCTCGAAGAAACAAAAAATTTAATAAGGAAGTTCTTCAGATCCAAGTACACCCGGAACCTGCAACTATCAAACATGCAGGACACTATTGATTAATTTTGGTCACCTTTTCTTTTCTGCATCTTTCCTCACTTCACCGTCCACTTTTCTAGCATTTCGACACCTTTTCATCTAATGTTTCTCACTAACGCTCAAGATGCAATTTTCCAGTATGTTTAAGAGTAAATTACAAATTACTCATGTTCATTTCTCTTTTCTTTTTAATTCTAGAGTTACGTCATTATATTCCATTGTTTGTAGGAAGATTTACTTCTAGAAAGAGCCATATTCCATTTTCAAATGTGGCCTAATGTTTGGAGAATTTCTAATAGAAGTTTCCTTTTGGAACACCAAAAGTGAAACAGCAAGAATAGTAAAACACTGTGATCCTTGCAGACTGCATTACCTTAGTGTCCTTGAAAAGTTTGTGTTCTTTGTTATGCTGGGTGTTGGACCTATGAGGCGATTCTTACTGGTTCTGTCATAAATTTTAAGTCCTTGTGGTGATGAAACATTTTCATTCTACACTACCAGATTGAGGATTGAGCATGTGTATTCTCCTCATTTTTTCTCCTCCTTTCTTTATTTGCTCATTTCATGAATATGAATGATATAATATATGACAAATATCAGTTAGCTGATTCTACTGTTTCATTTGAACATTTGACAGGCTGAGAAAGCCAAGCAAGATGATGGACTGTCAGAACTCAGCGATCTGTTGGGGGAGCTCAAGAATATGGCTGTTGACATGGGATCTGAAATTGAGAGGTTAGTGTTATAAAATTTATTAAGCAGATTCCAATCTCTCCTTTCTTGTTCTCTCCCTCTTCCACCATCTCCTTATTGAACTGTCACTGTTAAAGTACTGTGCTACTAAGTCGCTTCTTAAAAAATATGTATATGTAACAACTATGCCTCAATCCCAAGCAAGTTGATTTCGACTGTATGAATTCTCACTGTTCATGTCCCTTCATTTAAACCATTCTTGAGCACAATAAGAATTCTGTATACGCTGTTGGATATTACAGGCATAAAGATGCATTGGATCATACTGAACAGGATGTTGATGAGCTTGGCACCAGAGTTCAAGGGGCCAACCGGAGGATTCGGCGCTTGCTTGGAAAGTAAACCAGTAGACATCTGTTGTGGGAACCTATTAATGAGCTTTCAGACGTTAACTTCAGTTTATCATTTCAGCTATTCTTGAGTTTTTCACAAATGCTTCTCTCTGTAATTTTATGTTACTTTGTATTATAATTTTACAATATTCTATGACAGTAAACCAAGTTAATTGTATGGTATTTGGAAGGCAGGACGACAAAATTACTACTCGACCATTGTAGAGAAATAACGTGCAACACAAATAAGATTACTGTTTGATCAGTGAAGACATGGTTGAATGTACTTTATGCTAACATCCATTTTTTTTATAAATTCCAATCAACCATTCATCGAGTACCTCCTGAGTCAACTATTAAACTTATAAGAGTTGTATTGTCAAACTTCTTTTAAAATGTACTCTCTTCTTTTAATATCAACATCCTAATAGAGGATATAAAATGTTTGCTAGACAGCAATAATAGTCTAGATATAAACTGTTCAGTTTGTCCCATGGGAAGATCCAAAAGCACCAAGAGGAAACTAAATTACATCTAATTTTGCAAGTTGATAAACAACTTACATTACAAGATACATGTTCCTGGAAACACTAAATGGATTTACCTAGCCATATAATACATAACTGCATAAAATTTGGCAGCTCAGTTTATTGTAGCAATTATACAATTACTAAGTTGTGAATAGATAAGAGTGCCAGATGATAACTATCAGACAAAAGTATTTCCTAATTCTATGTACAAACAGGAGAGCTTAAGTAGGGGAATACTATGAATTTGATGGACAAGGGGGAAATTGATATTGGAGACTTCAGCTTTACAAGGACTGGAGACAAACTTGGGATGTTCCCATTTTCTGCGAGTTGTAATGGTTTTCCATTCAAGAGCATGGTTCTGCTTTGAAGGTTCCCATCTAGTGGAGTCAGATGGTACTCTTCTCGTGATAATGTAACATCTGATGATTTTCTTCCAACCCATGAAATAGTTTTCTTAAGACGTTGCACGAAAGAACTCTTGTGATTTGATTTCTCTTTGACATGCGAGGTGATGCTTACACTAGATTCGATGTTGACTCCATAATGAGTTTGGTTGCTTAGATTGATCAAAAGTAATGTTACACCTGCCTGCACAAAGGGAACACCAGTAACATTGAAAGGTTTTAGCAGGGAAATGCAAATCATTGCATGTTTATATGAAGGCTTTATCGAATATTTAATCAAGAATAACCAAATTACTGCAGTATGGCTAAAGAGAAAATGGGAATATAAGTGAGTTGAAACTGGCTTCAACAAAATGCGACAAAATTGTATAAGAAAGGTGTTCTATCCTCCATTTTGATTGACTCATTCATCGTAAGCAACACATAAGAAGCATATCCAAGAGTGGTAAGTTCGATTGCCAAACTAAGCACAAGGGAGAGCCATCATCTTATAAAAGAAAAAACTAGTTGAGACTGAATTGCATCAACTTTAATTATAACAATCGAAGCATTTAAACACAATACCTTGCTATTTTTACTCCTCCTGAAGTAGTTTTAAGCATATGGACTTTATAAGTTACAATTTATGGTCTAAATTATAATAATCAAGAAAAACAGCTTGCCTCGTTATCAATCAATCAACCAATTAAGTACACCTCAATCTTACATGAATCTCCTATATCATTCCGATCTCCGTTCTATTCAAACTATTTAGTTTGGTTCTATACGAATCTGATAGGTCCATTTTCGCTCAATTCGGCCAATGCTAATAATTTTCTACTGATGAGCCTTTCATGGTTGGAACTAAGCATAAACTCTCACACTCAGACAGGGATGTGATGGGACATCTTGCCTATTTAATACTAAAATGGATACCATGTTCAATATCTAGAGGTTTCAGTATATTATGACTATTCTTATGTTAATAACCAACCTGCCGCAACCCTCCTTAATCTGGGCTTGACCTGACTATGCAAAGCTAATATAGTTGTTTATCATTGCATCTTTTCTCCCAAACTAAAAGAAGCTGTGACGTTTTACTCTCTACAAACAATTAGATTGAAGACCTGAAGTGGATGGACTCAATGAAACACAAGAAGAAATGATATTACTATTGACGATGAACAAGGTTTATAGAACGGTGATTACGCATGTAAGTTTAAGACATCCTTTCAGGAACTCATCAAATTACTTTCTGTGAAGGGCTCTTACTCTATGTCTTGTACAGTGGGCATACGAGCGCAGATATGATGATGCATTGTTGCTAACAGCAAGAACTCCTTTTCCCATCAGCCGATGCCAAAGAAGTGCACTGTGCTCGTTCAAGTATAATGATTTTGGATCAGATTATTAGGGACGTAAAAACTAGAATTAGGATAAATGCTCCTTTTAATAGCAAAGAGAATCAACCTTGGATTGGTAAATCTATTGTCTCACCTATAATAATCAGGATTTGGGACAAATGTACTTGTGTCAAGGAGCCCATAGTTTCCACCAATAAAAGTCTGCCTGCAATATACTTTAGTGTGATATGTGGCTGCCATCCCAAGCTGATCCAAGTACCTAAATTCCATGTCAAGATAAAGCATGAAACAAAAATAATTAACTGATTACTGAATAAAAAATAAATCAAGTCAGCCAAGAAATTTACCAAAAACTGTTCACAAAGGTGTTAGACACATTAGGACCTCCGTTATTGAAGGCCCCACCAGATTCTCCAACCCAAGCTGAAGACCAAGGACCATTCATTTCAATGGTTTGACTAAGATTACTGAATGTGTCAGCAATTTTATTCAAGTGCAGAGGGTTTAAAATTTTGTTTACGAGATTGAGGTCAGATCCTGAAACAGAAATTTTCTGGTTTTATTCAATGGAGCAAGTACATGAGTAAATTGACTTACAAATCTAGAGAACACAAGTAGTAATGTAACCTTATACTCAAATAGACCAGTACACTAACAATTACAAGAAAAGATAGATAAAGTAAATCATACATCTATCAGAGCAGCTGCTCATAATTCAAATTTAACAGAAGCAAATACTAACATTTTTGTTAATGAAATGTGCTGTCAATGATACTGTTGATTGATAAATTAGAATTTATCTAATTTCGTTCCACCAACTAGTTCTCTTTTACTAGATGGTTCTCAACCTCCTAATGATGTCAATAGCTAGTGCCACATTACAAGTAACAAATGATTTTTGTAGTAGACGCAAAAAACACTTTAAACAGAAACAAATAGATCCAAGAAAACGCTGTCACTCCTTAGATTTGATGTGATCATCCTAGCACTAGATTTTCTAAGCTAATAAAGGCTTTCATACAGTATCAAGCTACCCATAAAATTTAATGCTAGCTTACCTGCACCAAGATTATATATATGATGAGTCAAGGCATCGACAGTGCCTGGCCCTGACATCTCAAGGAACGTCTCAAACCACTCTTTATCATAGAATCCTCCTGGTGCTAAGAGAAGTGGTCGGGGTTGGAAATGCTTATACAATTGGTCTATGAGATTGTTAAGATGTATAACATCTTCTCCATATTGTTCAGCATCAACCTTTGCACCAATCCCCTTACCACTCAACTCATTTCCTGCAAACCAAGTGGAACCATTGTTTAAGGAAATCCAACTTCTATTAAACAAGGTAAAATACCAAAAAAGAGAGAGGGAAATTGTCAGCAATTATACCAAATTCCCATGAGTGTATTTGGTAGCCCTTGGAAACAGTGTAATCTATGAAATCATGGGCGTTGCTGGAATCCCAATTCCCTTCCCAGACACGCTTACTGGTCCTCTGCCTCCCTCGCAATGCATTCAGACCAAAGGTCACAAGTGCTCTGCAGCATAATTAGTGAAACTGGAATGAACTTTGTTGAAGTGAGTGACCACCTCATGTAAAAGCTGAGTGATTAATAGGCAGGGGACACTTTTATTTTCTCATTATGCCTTAACACACTCCTCACATGCAGGCCCAATGCTCTTTTTTTCTTTGCCAGGCATGTGGAACTAGTTTATGTTAATAAGTGATGGTAAAGACTTGAAATCAGGACCTTTGTTTGGCTCTAATACCATGTTGAAGTGAGTACCGTTAGAGAGATTACGTTTACATTTATTTCATCTTATGTCTTTAACAAATTTCATAAAATTTTAAGTAAGTTATGGCATACTCCGAGAATAAAATTGGAACAAGAAAGCAGCACAAAAGTTAATAACTCACCCTGTCTTATTGAAAAAGCTATAAGTTAATAACTCACCCTGTCTTATTGAAAAAGCTATTTAGCTCATCCCATCTATCCATACGTAAACATCCATTTGAAAATCCAAACAACTCATCCCCTTGCTTGGTAAACGGATGGCAAGGCGACTCCAAATTGCCCACATCATAGATTATTCGGTTTTGCAAAGAACCTCCAAGTCGTAATCTCAGATGGTTGAAAGCTGGTCCACCAAATTAGCAATCAGAACAGACGAGAAATCAATGAGCATTCTGAAGAAGCATCAAGTCTGATTTGCTCACTGTTGTAAATAGATGGTTCATTTGATGTTTAAGGTGAAGTTATGGAGTTTACCAGTCAAAGTTTGTTAATTAAAGTAAGAACAACAAGATCTCAAATACTAAGGTAAAGTTATCACATGACGGGAACAAGCTGACCTTGAATAGAATTTGCCAGAAAGGGGTGAGATAAATCCTGAAAAAATCAAACGAAAATAATGAATGGTAACTGTGCTGTGACTTTTACAAAGCAATATATGCCACTATATCAATTAATAGTAGAACTTTACCAGATTTATCAGAGATGTCGAGCCCCAAGGGCAATCGTTGTGGTTACACTTTTCTTTAGGCCACCAGTCAAGAGTAGCGCAAACATAATTATTATCTGTCTCAGCAATTTTTACAGTTCCATCAATCAGAAATTCTGTTTCTTCAACTATTTGTGCCAGAAATGCAGGACACAGTGCCAAAAAGATTAACAATAAGGGTGGGAAGCCCATTGGCTTTTAAACTACTCAGCTTCACCCCTCTTTGAACAGATTCATAAGCTGTAACAGACGAGGATATAATAAATGTTAAGAGTCTAAGAGAAGTTTAACAAGCAATAAAAGAACTTTTACATGAACGATAATGAGGAAAAATATGGCATTTCATCAGAATGCTAGCAGCAATTCTCTGATTAAGCATCTTAGCAAAATAAACTTCTTCTTGTCATTCCATATTTAAGGCTCCTTCAGTATCTTGAGGTAGCTACAACTAATTTGCATATAACAACAACAACAACATACCCAACGGGGTATTGGGGTGAGTGTACACAGACCTTACCCCTACCTCCACGAGGTTGTTTCCAAGAGATACTAGGCTCAAGTGAAGCAAAACAAAATAGCAATGAAAAGGAAAAACAACAGTGAAGAAAACATCTCGACCAAATTACATAATATTCCTTTATCCAAACTATGATCAATCTATGTCTATTGATTAGAGTAACTGAATCTAACATGATGTCAAAAATCAAAGTAGATTAACAAAACATGAACAGGAAATGAGGGTGCATAGCATATTGCTTTTCTTGGTAAGATATTACAAAAGCTATAAAACCAAACTGGACAAGTGCGTATACTTAATTACACTTTGGAATTAATTAAAAAGATGAATGAAAATTAACCAATCAGAATCAGCAAAACAAGAATTAGATCCAACAATGACAAGAACTCCCTTAGACAATAGCATACAAAACAACAAAAAGCTAAGATCTTTCAGACTTACCGAACAATTGAGCTGAACCCAGATGAGAAATAACCTTAAACACCACAAGAATTTGAGATCACCAGAGCACAAGTTCCAAAAAGAAAGAAAAAGCAACACTGATAATGTGCAGGCAGCCTCTGTGCCAAAAAGGGGCAAGCTTTATCAGCCAGTACCTTGTGGTGGGGGAAAAGAACAAGAAAAGAGTGTGAAATGAAAAGGGTAAGTTTCAGATTTGTCTAAGTGTATTATATAGCAACAATTAGCGTTCATTCATTCAAGAATTAAGGAATTTTTGGTACAAAACTGTTGCCATTGTCGAAGTTCGAAAGAGGAAATATAGACAAACTTTGTAATACAATGAGGTGTCAAATGTATGAGCAATTGAGCAGAGTCAAATTATTTGTTGGATTTGCAGTAGTGAGGTGTCTTAAGCTTAAAATTTGTCGTTAATATTGGCTTACAGCCGAAAAGGAAATCAACAATGGCTGAGTTATACAAGTAGAACTTTGTTTTTTTTTCTTTTCAAATATGTATTTTTTATGATAATTAAGTGAGATTTGGTTCAACACCGTCCACATCAGTCAAATCCTAAAGCAAGCTTGTCAAAAGTTTTTTGTTCAATAATGCCCCTTGGTCGAAATAGACATTATGTTTTTTTTTCTCACCGCTTATACTAATTAGTAATAAAGAAATCATATGTATACAAGCTTCCTTATTACGCTATAAATTTGTCACTTGTAATAGTTGGCATTATTTTTCTGAAAATTTTATGATTGTTAACTTAAGATGTTATCATATCATATAATATTATAAGTGGGAACAAAAAAAAGTTAAAAGTTAAATTATGATTTTACTTTTATTATAAATTAAAATATTATAAAACATTTAACTATTTAATTTCAATATTAAATTGTTTCATTTTAATTAAAATGTTGATAGACTTTTGCACTTTCTTAGGTTAATTCCTAATTAAAATATCTAATTTAATAATACATGTTTTCTATATATATATATATATATATTCTCTTTTTGGAGATTTTAAATGTCTAAATAATTTGATTAATGTTTTATTCTCTATCTATAATTACCTTGATAAATTAAATTATATTAAATTAGTTAGTAAAAAGAGCAACCCTCCATCTCCCCATGTATAAGATCATGATTATTTTATTAAATATATAAATTCGTCAACTTTTCATCTTCTCTTTTAACTATTAATAATACTCAGTTATGAGTTAATGACATTAATAGTCTTTAATTTCTTATCTTAATATCAAAAATTGTAGAGGTAAAGTTATGGTCTCCATTTATAATTCCTATAAATATTTTTTTTTTGAAAAAAACTAAATGATGAGGCTCCTAAGCCTCTTTTATATAAATCTCTAACTAATGGAGGAATATTTTTTGTTCACAAATTACCTCCTTTTGATGAGATTATTTCGGCGATTTTCAGGTACCATTTATGTTATTTTTTTGTTTAAATATAATAATATTATATAAGATTTTAATAGTGATATTTTGTATCCTACTTTCATCATTATCACTTTAGATGACTATTTTTTCAACTGCTTTGTTGTTTTATGAATTCTTGAATTTATTTGGAATTTTATATTTGTATATTGTATTTTGCCATGTAAAATATCATTTTTTTTCTTATTCATATTATATGAGCTCATAGATTATCACAATATATTATTCTACTTCTTTTATTAATGTGGATTGTAGGGACACGTACAAAAAATTGATGGTTATTGATGGAGTAACTCATTCTTCTTATTGAGATTTTTGTAGCTTTAATGATTAGTCATCCATAATTTTTCTAGATATTTTGTTTGTTTACAATTTATGTTTACTTCTCTTTTAATATTATTTTTTATTTAGATTTCAATTTCATAATCGATAAGCTACTTTTTAAAAACTGAGACATTTTCAAATTGATGTATGTTCAAATAGTTTAAGTTATCGACGTAGATCATGAAGAAGACTCTTGAATTTGATAGGATATGGGAGAAAGAGTCAATAAGAACTCGAAATATTATATACTAATTTTGTATTTATTTTTTAATCTACATTATTATTGATCAACGTCTTATGAAGCATGTGTACATTGTATTTTTTTTCCTTCTCTATTTTTTTAGTGTTTTTTTCGTCTCTATTAGACATCTTAATTTAGTTTTTTGTGAAGTCGTAAGTCTAAATACTTATTTGAGCTCAAATTAGTCATTTGTAACTTTATTAAAAGTTTGTTAACTATTAACCAAAGTTTAAAAGTTATAGTAGATTGCTTAAAAAGAACTAATTTGAAATATCAAAATGTGCCCCTCATTGGTGTTTTATGGTTATATTATTATAAGAGGGAACAAAAAAAGTTAAAAGTTGAATTACAATTTTAGCCTTACTATAAATTAAAATATTATAAAAATTTTTAATTATTTAGTTTAAATATTAAATTATATCATTGTAATTAAAATGTAGATGACTTTTGCATTTCCTTAAATTAATTCTTAATTAAAATATAAAAAAATAATTAAATGTTTGGAATATGAAAAGATATATATTTTAATTGTAAATATATATCCTAGAATAACTAATGGCATATGAAAAGAGTGACCCCCCATTTATTCGATTAATGCCACTGATTTTATTTATTTGATTTATTATTACTAAGATGTTTAAAGTGTGAAATTATATATGAATGAATTAGTAATAAATTATTAAGATGACCTGTAATTGCCTCATTTATTACAAATTACAATGATTTGTGTTTTTCATCTTTTTAGTTATTCATTCAAACTAGACTACATTCCAAGTTCAAAGCAATAATTATTAGTGGTAATGTTAATTCTCTTGTTAAGTTTAACTATGATTTGTATTTTTTCATCTTTCCATCTATCTATATATTAAAGACTATCATTTAGAACTGAAAAATATAAAATTTAAACAGACATTTTTACTATTATTTAAGAACTAGGTGATAACCATTGAAAAATGAAAGAAATTGCCATTCAATTGATAATCAAAAAACTATTCCATCTATGATAGGTAAAAAAGCCATGAAAAAATAGAATACATGAGGTGGGGAGAAGAATTTGAAGACTTCTTTTTAGACATGCCTAAGTCTCTCTTTCGATATATATTCTCCATTACAAAGATTATTGTTGTTTCTAATTTCTTTTGCATTTCTAATAAATTCATTGTGGTGTTGTAATATTTTAGCTATTATTATGAGCTTTTGAAATAGATGTATGTATGAAAATCAGTGTTTAAATTATATATCTGTCAGTTTTATATTTTTAATGTAATTGCTTTTAATCTTGTATAATTTTGATAATACTGTTTTTTAATTTTAGAACCTTACCTAAATAATGTAAATATTTTACCCTATCGTTTCTCATTAAAATAAAATAGGCAATCTTATCAATAAGTGTGCATGTATTTTTAATATTCATTTATGGCTATAAAAGGTTATCATTGATATTTAGATCATAAAAAAGACTTATACAAAATTAAAGGAGACTATATTATATTAATTAATTTCACATACTTTTTACTTGATGCCAAATGCGCAATTCTTTTTTATTTATTTTTGTTGATACATGAAATATAATTGGTAAAATTAATATTGTTGATTTAAACATATTCTATTTGATAGCATAATTTTAAATTATATAACAATAATAAAAATTGAACATGCAACGCACGTTGTCAGAAACTAGTATTACGTATATAATGATATTTGACGTTTAGATCTCAATTGTATCGGAGAAATTTGCATTAAATGAACGGAGGCTATATTTGTAAGACTCTTCTTTTCTTGTGGGGACAAAATACCACACCTAGCCCAGTAAAATTATAGTTGGGCCTTCCTACTTGAGGCCCAAAGTACTTATCCATTTGAACTCTTGGGCCTGATTGCACCATAGCCCACATCAACACAAAAAAACTCCAAACAGATACCTTTCCTGCAGCATGAATAGAAACAAGACACATACCTTACCTCCAAAACCATCTTATACTGAAAAATAATCAAGAAAACAGAAAAAAGACTTATCAATTTGGTTAAAGCTTGTCCTTTCATCTTAGCTTCCTAACCACACTTTCTCTACCTCTTATGGACTGGGATGGGATAGAGGTGGATTCACGGATACAAATTTGGTAGAATTCAGTATTTTAATTCAAGATCAAACGTTGTAGTATATATGTGCAAAAGTAATAAATATAGGTAGATATACATTTCAAGACGTGTAAATTCTTGATTCGCCGCGAGGATGTTGAGAAAAGAATGACTAGGAAGGTATGATAGAAAACGTCTATTGCTTTTGGAGAAGTTATTCCAAACATAGTTGCAAAGATAATGTATAATGCTGGAAACAGCAAATTTAGTACATTAGTCTCCCTCTTTAAAAGTAAACTCTACTAACTTTCTGGTTAATTTTTTCTCAAGTTTTAGAAAGTGTCATCAAAAAGGGATTAGCATTTGTAGGACATAAATAAACTTCAGCAGGCTTGCTCCAAAAATAGAAACTAAGTACTGGTCCTGTCTAAGCCAAAAACGCACATAGACAAGGTTTAATAGTAGCTAAGTTTTCGTCACCAGGCACCGAGACAGGAACCTGCAGTAATACTAATTGTTTAGCCAGATGAAAAGGAACATTTATGACTTGGGTGATGGAGAATTTGCAGCAGCAATTGCTGCTACTGCGTTTGCTATACGTTCCCTTGAGGAAAATGCTGGCTCTCAAAATCAGACAAAAGCAAAAAGACCTGTTATTAGGCCACCAGAAGCAGGTAAATGTCAACACTGTATACATAATTTTCCCTGGATTATTAGTACTACTAACATGTTAGTTACTATTTCTACTAGTAATCTGTTTGTGTAAATATCTTTTTCATTACAAGAGCATAGAACTTTAAAGTCATTTTTCCTTAGCAAGATATCACGAGTAAATTGCTTAACATGTTCTATTTGAAGCTCCAATGAGAAGGACATCCACGATGAATCGTAAAACTTCAGCAGAAATAGTCAGTATAACTCCAGTAGCTAATGATAAAATGCAAAAGGGGATTTCAAGAGGAAGCAGAAATGCTGAAAACAAAGCTGATGCTTGGGAGAAAGCTCAGATAGCCAAAATAAGAAAGCGGTACAAGTTTTATTATTGATTGTTCTTTATGTTATAAAGGTTGATAATTTCAGTTCACCTATAACACACTTTTTAAAATTTTTTGTTGCAAGACATTGTAATTAGTGGCATCTTAATAAGCAACGTTCTCAAATTTCAGACACGATGAGCTTCTTTCTGCGCTTCTTGCTTGGGAGAACGAAAAGAAGATGATGGCAAAAGAACAAATGGAAAGGAGAAAGGTTAGTAGTCTCCAAGTTTTGAAGCTGTTATAGTGCGAAATGCTTAGTGCTTAAAATGACTTTTATTGGGAAATTGCAGAATCAAGTGGAGCTTGCTTTGAAAAGGAACTTGCAGCATTACAAAAACAAACTAGCGAGAATTGATCATATCGCCAAAGGAGCAAGAACACAAGCAGAAGAGAAAAGAAGATATGAAGAAACCACAGTGAAAGAGAAATCAAATAAGATTAGATCAACAAGGACTGGACCTGTTACATGTTACTGCTTCTAACTGTAAAAAGTGTACAAAACCAGAAAATGAATCCTCTTAAACTATATTTACACAAGAATTGTACTCAACTCATTGATTTTATATTGAAATCTGTCTTAAGAATTATTTCCCCAGTGTGCAATGGTTGGTTTATAGCAATCGAAAATGCATTAATCCTGTTGTGCTGCATTTCATTACCAGACAAAATGTATGTAATCGAAAGCAAAAACAACTCATGCCAATCAAGTGTTTTAAGTGATAATTGTTGCTATTGTTCTGTGTTTCAACACTGGTATCTATCAATGGTTTGACATGTTTATGCGTTAGTGGTACCTGGAAGAATCTGTATTTCCATAGGCTAAACCCTTTCATACCCAACCAATAGAGGTCTTCTTGACATATTTTGCAACCTCTGAAACAACATGCTGTCTCCTGCTTCTGTTGATATTCATAAACTTCTATTGACAAACTACCCTCACTGTTTCTCATAAGTAAAATTTTGTCATTTTCATTCGATAATCTATGTATGCTAATGAGCATGCAGAATTCAAAGGTGGCCCTTTTTTGCCTGATGATGGACCAATACAGTAACATGTGACCAACCGGCTGTCTCAAACAAAATGCCAACAGTAGAATTATAGATCACACGGGAAGAGTTATTAGAACCACGAATGTTGCTTCTCAGAAGCCAGCAGGCTTAGCTAGAGACAGGGACTTCTATCTCAATCATTAGGTTGACCCTAGTGCCTGATGTCGGTAAATTACATGTACCCAATATTTACACCAAACCAAGCAATCTAACCTTAGCGGTTAAAGATTAAAGTGAGAATACATATCAATTTAAGTACACATCTCATGGCCTAAGAAAGGCTGGTTCCATGATTCAAACCTTGGCCACATGTAGAAACGTAGAGCATTTCTCATTACTCCAAGACATGCCTACTTGCATCTCAATCATGACGAGAAATAATTCCTTTACAAAGAATTTGAATGGTAAAACTGATTGTGAACTGTCTCTGTTTAGCTATTGATGGTGATCCATAATAAACCCCATTTTCAACATCTAAGTGTGGCCGTGCAATTTCTAGATATTGTATATCAATATATGAAACATCAATTAATATGGATCACATGGAAACAAGAAATACTACAAAATTATTGATCACACAGGTTAGGTAAATCCTTTTCTGTTGAATTGATTATGGGTACCCACCTGACTTCCCTACATGAGACCATGTCTAATTAAGTACTTACAATTGAGTGTAGAATAAGTTGAAATGTTTGTTGTTGTCATTAAGAACATTCAAAATGTCTATCCAGAATCAACTGTGACTTGACATGTCTCCAGAACCAGGGGCATAATTGGCAAGAGTTCAAGTTTGACACAACAATCATGTCGCTTGCAAAGTAATTACCGCTATATCTCTATAACTAAAATTGATTGACTAGCTGGTAAAAATCTATGTCAGGTTAAACTACAGCAGTAGTGTAAAAATGTGTATATAACTTAAATCCAATTGGCAAACTTGGAGGTACTTGGGAAGTCCTAAATACAAGGGATCCCATAAACGAGGAGTAAAATCTTCTACGTGATGACAAGGTTTTGCAAAAACACTTGACACGTTTGATTCACAACAAAACATACCAACTTAGAGAAAAGATGTTGTCCCTGCATCTGCCTGGTGCCTAAGCCAGCAAGTGAATGACATGAAACAAAAAAAGTGCTGATGTTATCAGTAAGAAATTTCTAATTACATTAATGGCTTTATACTAAGGATTCCAAAATCTAATCTAACAGCACTTGATTAGAACTTTATACCAATGTTTATACGAAATCATGGATGAGAATGACAAAAGATAAACCACAAATTACCAGCCCCACCTCATCTTATGAAGTCGGCATACCTTCTATGTGATTGAAATTAATTATATTTTCTCAAAATGCTGTCAATTTATTTGAATAGATGTTGCATCACTAGTCAGAGCAACCAAAGTCAGATAGAGAGGCGGCAAATTTGAACGCATTGAATGTTTTTAAACCCATCAAAATGGAAATATCTTTGTTTGAAGTTACTAATTACGATGAAGAAATCAGTTCCTGATCTTTAGGTGGATAAAAATTTTGCTCTTTCGTTCTTTAGAGTTTCTATCATCAAAGAAAAAGAGTAAAACAGATACACTAAGATGCCAAAACTTATCCATTTGAAATCCAGGCTTTTATTGCTACAACACACAGTGTGCATACATTAAATATTCAGCTAAATATGACAATCCTGTAGGGGACCAGAAGATACTGAAAGACATTTTTAGTATAAAAGAGGGAAAGCCAACTCAATATATTAGGACTGGAAGTAACTGAGAAATTAAGAGAGTAGACCCTATCAAAGGCATCAACATGAGTCATCATACTTGGAATTTTAGTCACCAAAAACAAGAACAACAAGTAGTAGAAAAAGAAGAAGAGGAGAACAGATATACTCGTGGCCACGTGCATAATCAGCAGAATCAAGTTGACCCCATGTATGTTCTTATTATACTAGCTACTAGTAACATTTTTCTTCAACATCTCTTTCTTTCCACTAATCTGATATCTAAAAATTCAGGTCCAATAAGTGTGAAGTTGCAGAGTTAACATGGGAAAATGGGCAAGTAGCCATGCATAGACTCGGAAGCAACCTCTCGAATGAGCAAACAAAACACACATGGGGAAAGGCTGGTGACACACTAGAGTCAATTGTGCATCAAGCCACTTTCCAAAAACAACATCATAGTTATATAATGGGAAGTGATGGACAAAATCAGGCAAACATCAACAGGGAAAAAAATGTATCTTATGGTGCTCAACAAACAAGAGGAGTATTAAAGAGGATGAGATCATCAGATTCTGACCCCCAGTTATATATTGGTGGAATATCATTAGAACATTTAAACGCTCGTGCAAGTGCTAAGGACAATGATATCACCATGATAACATGGCCTTGTAATGAGGATTCTGCCTGCCATGGTGGCTCGGTAATTAAACTTCTTACATACTTCCTAAATTTTTTAAAAATGGAAGCTATAAGTATACTTCTAACAATCAGATTCGTGTCTCTTAGTTAAAAAGTGATTGCTAGCAAGTATGATCATCAAATGCAAATATCAGTAGTCACATAGCTAATGTGGCAGTCCCACTATACGTTCTTGTACTACATATATAGTACTAGTACTTCGGAATTATATTTTGCAGTGATATGTATACTTCCTTCAAATACATAGAGGTTACCAAACTCTCATGCATATTGGATGACTTTGTGACAGGAAAACAAAGAGGAAGAACGTGAAACAAAAAGCTCCAACCCATCAAAACGTAGTCGAAGAGCTGCTGTCCACAACCAATCAGAGCGGGTATGTTGGATTAATGCACCTTAGGACAAGTTAGTATAATAATATACCTGTATATATATATATATGAAAGATATAGCTTTTCACTCTATCTTATAAGAATATCAGAGAAAATAACTATATGACTACATGAACTCACTAGTTACGCGTTGTTTTGTTTGGTTTTGGTGCAGAGACGCCGTGACAGAATCAATGAAAAGATGAAAGCTCTGCAGAAGTTGGTGCCAAATGCTAGTAAGGTACGTAGTTTATAACTAGCACATGTGCAAGTCTAACAAGTATTATTTGGCCTATATACAGTATAATTTTCTGGCGAAGGATGTTCCCTTAAATTTCATAGTCCATATATTACAGACAAATAAAGCATCCATGCTGGAGGAAGTGATAAAGTACTTAAAACAGCTTCAAGCACAAATCCAGTTGATAAGCTATGCTAAAAACATGGAGCAGCAAATGATGATGATGTCTCTAGGAATGCAACCAGCACATATTCAAATGCCTTTACTAGCAACAATGGGCATGTGTAGTAGTACTACAGGAATACTTAACAATATGACTTCTAATTTAGCTCCAGCTCCTTATCAATCTCTTATAGGCGGCCGCGCTCCCCTCATTTATCCAACCTCTTCAATGCCCACTCTTTTTCCTCCCTTCATGTCACCACCCTTCGCCACGGCATCATCCATTCCTAGTACTCCACCACAACCTATTAACGCCGAATCCATCAGCCCCAAACTCACTAAATATGCAGCTCCCCCTAATATTGCAGCCAGTACTTCATTCCCTTTTAGCCACCCCTATAATGCATATCTGCCTCATGTAAGTACTACCTCCAGCTCAACTTTTCGAAACTTGTGATTTAAACAAGTCAACAGAAATTTTGTGATGTTAACTAATCATCTCATTAAAAGTATAAAGTTAAATTATTTCTAATTATATTTCATATATCTATTCTAGTACCGGGCTAAGAGGCGGTTGAGCAACTTGATTAATTGTCTATATATACATGCAGTCAATGAAGATGGAGTTCAATAATGAGATGGCAGCTCAATATCTGCAGCGGGGCAATCAAGAAAATGTCAATATTCAAGGGCAAAAAAAATGATCCATCTGAATATATATTTCTATACTCACATTTTCTTACTATATTTGATGCATTTTATGTATTTCATTTATAGTATGGTATATAAATTATGGTATCGTCTAGGTTTTTATTAAAATGTGCAATAATTTAGCATATCGAACTGTATTTTCTTTTTCCTTCTAGTAGACAAGTTCACTTGAGCAATATGTATGTTAAGCTTGCCTATTGTTAGATAGTTGTTTAATGATATAAATTCAATTAAAAAAAAGAACAAAAACTGAGGACCCCTTACCGTGTAGTACGTAGCAATATTAAGCAAAAAAATAACTTAAACTCATCTCGAAATATGATACTTTAAGTAAAGTTAAAACTCTAATTTCAATATCGCTTAAAAAAAATCCCGAATACATCACTGTTTATACGGAATCAAAGTTTGTTACGATGTATTCACAAATCTGATTTTTCATCACAACTCATTGGCTGAAAAGAAAGAAAAAAAGGGACCAATGGATGATCTCAAAAAGATTTCGTGTGGGTTCTACATGAAGCAGCGGACCTTCATACTACTCTCTCCGTTTACTTTTATTTGTCATATTTTTTTTCAAGAGTTAAATTACATGTATTTTGACTAGTCACATTTTGTTTTCACGAGAGTTAAATTACATGGATATGTCATATTCATATTGATACAGTATCTTTTATATAGTTTTTAAATATCTAAATACAAAATTAAAAATCTAATATAATTTAGCTCTATAAATAAATAAAAGGACACTCGTAAAGCGAAAATGACTGTTGACAATAATATCCGAATCAAAAAAAAAAAATCAAGATAGAAAAATATCGCAATAATCATTTTATTGATTTTAAATATGAGTGTTACAATTTTATTCCTCCCTTAATTCTTCTCTAGTAAGATTTATCCATGATTCAAGGATTGTTAGTGATGGCATATTCCTCAAACTATGATTATTTAAATTTAATTACTTTGTGAATATTTCATAAATTTGCAAAATATTCGAGATGTTTCATTAAGACAGTACGATACATTCATATCCTAAGGGTTAAAGGGTTAGAACAGCCTCTAAGATTTTCAATTGAAATCTAATACATTTTATAAAGTTTCAACTAGAATTGAACACGTCTTGTAAAAACTCACAAATTTTCAATGTCTACGATAACACAAATAAAAATGTTGAGAGGTTGGATAAAAATGATTGGTGGGAAATTCTATAAATGATAAGAGTTGAATATTGCAACAAAGTCTTTGTCCCTACATGTATGTATTAAATTACAAGAAGCTTAGAGAAATTAAGGCCTTTTAATGATTGCTGGACCATTTTGTATCTTAATTTGTCATAGGCTGGACCAAATAGAAATGGACATTGGAGTTACATTTGTGTATCATTGTAAAGGAAGGACAATTGTTTTCTTTACCATATATGCTTTACAATATTCTATATGCATGTCCAATAGCAACTTGATGATAAATCTCTTTCAAAGACTTTTCAAGATGAATCATCATATATATCATTGGTACACGCTTGTTGGGTTCCTTTAGTAGTTTTCACTAGTTAAAAAAACATCATTTATCGAATGATAGAAATTGATGGACATCCGTTTATACATTTTTCGATAAAATAATCGAAGAATCACTCAATTAAAAAAAAAATTAATTTTTTTAAAGGACCTGATGAATGTCTATTGTTAGAATTAGTTTGATCCGATTTTTCTTTCGGATTGAATTAAGGGTAACTTTTACATATATCAAATATAAAAATTATATTTGTATGTTATAGCTATAGTTTGCATAATTGCGTTCCATAGCAAATTTTATGTTTGTTATGGAGCTTTTGATTTGTGTAATTCGCTAGATACATCCAATTTTATACAAATTGTTCAGTTTTGTATAAATTGACTTATACATTGTATTGTGCATTATAAAATTTGTATTTTGTATAATTATAAGTGTATAGGACGAAAACATTTGTATTTGTATATACATTTTTCTCTCGCTTTATACAAACACAAATGCATTTTATATATTTGTATACTGAAAATGGCTAATTGTACACCGAATCAGATGACAAAAAAAAGACATTTGTTGCGAATTACAAATAAAATAAATTATATCTATAACATTTAATTTAATTAATAATTTATTATTTTATCTAATTTTCCTCTTGGATTAATGCTACGATAGAATCACACTAGTATTATAAAAGGGAGGATTATTTTTCATCACGAATGTATTGCAGTTGCACCACAATTTTATTTTATTTTGCGCGTTTTCTTAGTGAAACTTTTGGGCCCATTTTGCTCTTAGCCCATCGAAAATTTGCTATGGATTCTAAATTTTATAAAGATGATTTTAGGAGTTAATAATAGAATCTAAACTTAGTATTTATATATATTTAATAAAATTTTTTAAACAAAAAAGCTATTCGAACAAAAATTATTGATCCAAGAGAACTCGTATACGGACTTCTAGCTCTGCCCTTGTTGATGCACATCAATAATTATTATTTGTCGAATGCATTACTAAATTAAGAAGATTAATATTGGTTTTTTCCCCTATTGTACCAAGTGTAAAATTTGGTGATCAGGAAAATATAACGAGAATAAAACACACATTTTACTTTACAGAGACAAAATAAATCTCCATGTCACATATATATATTTTAGGTATATATACGTAAAAGAAAATATTTAAGCTATCTATATAGTATAATGTTCTCACTATTAGACTGATCATATTTGATCTTCCGTAACTAAATTGTTATCACATGTTAAATTAAACTACACATAATTACATTTAAAAATAGGTAGAAATTCAATATCTTTTTGAACATAAAAACAACCTAAATAAGAACTAGACTCCAAATAAGATAGATAATATATAGTATAACATGTATCATAATTAGTGGCCGGCTGATTAGTCGTACGTGATACACTTAATTTGCATCGCCTGCACCAATTTTAATTTATGAGTAATACTTATGTTTTGACTACCATTATTACTTCATTAATATATTGCAAATAAGTGGTGGTGATAATGACATGTGATATATTTATCGTGGATAAGTATTATGTGTGTCGTTTACAATTTTTTTCCCTATACATATATACATGATTTGAGCAAAAACAATTGATTTAGTAAAATTTGCCAGCGTTGAATCACTTTAAAATGTATAACCTTTCCTATTTGTAGTTGTACAACAGCTAATCTTAAAGATTAGTGACATAATTTTCATTTCCATTAAATGTTATATCCAATTCTAAATGATTTAAAACTTCAAAAGGGTTACCTAGAGAAATGGCTTCACACTAGGAAACTCCACCTCTACTGCATTGGTTTAAACAGCTTGCAAATTTTGCATTGAAATGCAATTTTTTTATGGAGCAAAAAAAAGATATATTTCATCCGTTTCAATTCGTTTGTCTCTAAATTTTTAGTTTGTTTAAAAAATAATGTCTCTTCCTTTTTAGTTTAAGACACAAGATACAAGAATATTTTTTACTTACTTAAAAGCCGTGTTCGTGTCAAGTTAAAACCAGATAAATAAATTAAAATTGAGGGAGTAGTATATATTAGAGTAGCACTAACATTACTACTAGAGTCCAGGTATCTTCATTTGCTGCATTGTAAAAATCGGCTAGTATGCATTGTAAACAGTAAAAACCAAAGGTTCCAACTGATGCAGAAGCATTGTAAAATACAATATGATATAATACTGCTATATGTTTCATATATGGAAAACACACTTAACCTCCCGATATGTGCAGGATGTCTATGACACTTAACCTCCCGATATGTGCAGGATGTCTATGGTACCCAGTCTTACCCTACGTTTCCGCATGAGGCTATGACAAAGTGGCATTATGTTTATATTACTGTATATGTCAACAAACAAAACAACAAAGAGGATCTGACAAAGAGGAAATGCTCTATCAGAATATCATGATTTTCATGACCTGATATTCTTTCCTTTTATTTCACAAGCTAAGGCAGAGTTTATTTTCATGCCAAGGCTTATGGCTTCTTGGTGTTGTATCCTCATTTTTTACTTCCTATTTCCTCTGATTTTCCCTAAGATCATAACAAATATTACTTCTGCTATACCAACTCAGTTAACTAACATCCACCCTTTTCCATGTTCCGATCACATCAAGACGTGCAATGCTTTACTCTATCAGCACAACAGTCTCTCAAAACAGAATATCACCTTTTTTTACTCTGTCAATGCATCAGCAATCGAGCCGATTAGCTATGATGACAGACAAGACTACCTAATAAATGTACCTTGCACTTGCAAAGATGTTAATGGTACTGTTGGATATTTCTATGACACGATTTACAATCTGCAGTCAGGGGATACATTTGCAAATGTTTCTAATGACATTTATAGTGGACAGGCTTGGAAAGTTGGTGGAGAAGATAAAAGTTACAAGGCTGGGGAAAATGTAACTATGCATCTATTATGTGGATGTGTGGAAGATGAAGAAAAGACTGTGGTGACGTATACTGTTCAGCAGCACGATACTTTGTCAACTATTGGAGATTCACTTTCTTCTCAAGTCAGTGATATTGAGAGCTTGAATCCTTATTTGATAAGGCCACAGTTTGTAGATGTTGGATGGCTATTATATGTGCCCATGTACAAAAATGGAGTTCCTCTACCAAGTACCGGTAAGTTATATCTTGTATTGAAATTTTTCTCTTTTTTATCTCATCAACTATGTATTACTATGTTGACTAAACGATTAGATCATCATATTGATTTCTCAGACAGTCAACTTTCTTCTTGATTCCATTTTCCTTCAACATCGAAAAAAGTGATTTTATGAATTAGCTGAGTGACCATCTGAGAAATCAAGTCATGAAAGAAGATAGCTTGCTTATAAGTGTCTCCAGACTGTTGGCGAATTAGATCATCTCCTATTAGAAATTTTCTGTTTTTTTCATCATTTAAATAGTCAGTATCTCATCCTTGGTTAGCAAGGATTTCCATAAAATGTAAAGGAAATAACTCAGGAAGTTATTCGATAGTATATACATTAAACAGTGGCTATTTGATTATTAGAAATTGACTTTTCGTTGCTTCATTTTTTACCCAACATTCAACAGGAAAGAATCACAAAGCACACAAATGGATGGTATTAGTTGGAATATTATCAGCTGTGACAGTACTTTCAATCTGCACTGTGATAGTATTTATTCTAAGGAGAAATAGATTGCAGAGACGCGCCAAGGAGGATGCTGCAGCTGTTTCCAAAAGCTTTAGTACAAAAAAAAACATGTCACTTCAGAAGCAGTACATGTATAAAGATCATACTGAAGGTTTACTGTTTGACATTTATTTATGATGATAAGCTTATGTAAAACAAGAAAAGATTGCATGACAGAAAATTAACACAATCAATTTATTCAACTCTGCAGAAATGCCAGTTTTCGAATCAGAAAGGCCAGT